CTAAGATAAATACTGAATGACACTGGCATAAAATCAACAAGTAAGACATTAACCCTAGAACACTAACCATGGGTACCCATAGTACCCAGCGCAAATTTTCCTATTTTTAATTACAATTTTCAGTACCTGATATTTTTACCGAAATAATGTTTTTCAGTTCCTATTAATGTTAACTCAAAGTACAAAGTTTGAAGTTCCTGCATGTAAAATATTTCAAATAAAGATTCATATTTAGTATTTTTTTGATATTTTCAAATCGGGTTTGATAAACCCGTGGTTAGTAGTGGTGTAACTTTAATTGATGGTTACTGTTCTAGGGTTAATAATTAGGAATCAGTAATGTATTTTTGTGCGATTATGATAGTAATATATTAGAACACAAAGATTTTTATTCTAAAATAGGACATTATTTTCCGAACAATCTAATGTTTCGGACAATACGGTAGAAAGTAAAGTTATGAATCCTATCAAATTGATGATTGTATAGAAAATTTACTACAATATGTCCTTTGAGTGCAGAAGTTTAAAAACAAGGCTCTTTAATCTAAAGCGTATACATCTGCAAGTGACATATCCCTTCTGGACGAGGGTGATCATGTCTCTCCTTAACTTCCTTTCTTCTTAGTCTATCTTATTACTATACCTCCGAGTCCTGTCATCTACTGACAAAAGCTTCATGGATGGTCTCTGTGCCCTTCTTTTCCTCAATATGTCCTCCAAGACTTCTCTTTTCATAATCTGACCTAGAAATTTCATTCTGATTTGAGCGCCCTTTTTGTCATCATTTTCCTCAAAAATGTCTCTTTACTCAGATGTTTAGTTCATGCAATTTCATCCTCACTCTGTAAAACAACATCAAATTTGATTCGGATTTCAGTTTTATCTGTGAGAAAATAATATAAGATTTCAGATTTTATATAACAGTTGAGCAATCTTTATTTTTTTTAATGGGAACTTTTCCGTTTCTTAACACCTTCCTTTTCCTTGGAAGGCATCTTTTGTTATTCTAAGGTGTCTTTGAATTTCGATGCCACACCTTTCGTCCTCTGGGATTTTTGCCCTCTAAGTCCATCCCTCACATCTACAAATCTACCATTCATACATGCATGGAACACTGTAGCCATATATGGTCTGGTGACCTGCTGTTCATCTCGAGGATATCGACAAAATCCAAAGACGATTATGCAATGTGATCGCTCCTGACATGTGGTCTCGACTCCAGTCACTTTCTCACAGACGTGATCTGGCTTCCCTCTGTCTTTTTTTTATAAATATTTTCATGGCATCTACTCTGAAAAAGCTATTTTCACTGGAACCCCGACTGCATTAATTTAAGCGTGCTACTAGGTTGGCAGTTAAATGTAACCATCTCTTCTACTCCAACAGTTTCTCTCGCATTTCCCGACAATGGAACACCCTTCCTCTTACTTACTTCCCTGATAATTATAATCTTCTAAAATTTAAATATAATGCCAATCGACATCTTCTGCTATTTTGATCCCCCGTTTTTCCTTTTCTTCTTTCTTCAACCCTCACCATACCCAGTCCTTTTCATTACTTACACTCTCTATAGTCCCCCCCCTGGGTATTAGTGGAGGCGGGAATTGCTTAAAAAATATTCGAATCGTCTCTAGCTGGACACTGACACAGACCAAATAGTGTTTGGGAGCAGAGATGGGTACTAGGCAAATTGCTTCGGTCTGAAAGGGGGAAGATTTTGAGGGTGCCGAATTTACGAAAGCGACGTTAACGATTTAGTTTATCCGTGCCAAAATTCCATAGGCAACAGTAGTGATTATGTCAAAAATAATGTCTGGACGTCGAAATCTTCTCTCACCGACAATGTTATACTATCCCCTGAATGTATTACTTTTACGCGAAATAAATAAGAAGCAGTAATGTTTTTCATATGCCAAGAATACATACATGGGAAGAAAGATATGTAGAGATAGCAAGTAGAGAGAGAGAGAGAGAGAGAGAGAGAGAGAGAGAGAGAAAGAGAGAGCGAGAGAGATATAGTAGATATAGTGGGAGGTACTCGTAGATATCAAATGATGAAATAGATATGGAATAAATATCAAAAAAATTGCAAACACTCTTATGAAATAGACACCAACAATATGAAATAGATATCAAAAATATGAAAAATATATCAACAAATTTCAACAGTCAGATGAAAACTGTCGACCATATGAAATAGACATTAAAAATATGAAATAGTTATCAACATATCACAACAGATAGAAATAGACCTCAAGATTATGAAACAGGTATCAATAAATTTCAACAGACAGATGAAATAAACATACGATTTCCGGTGTTGCACTTTCCGTCCTCTGTAAAAAATAATTCAGATATGTGTACTTAATTTTGTCATCTCCAATTTGTAATATTTTATTGGTTTTCCAATTTGTTGACAAGCTTGCAATTGATGTTTATACGTATCTTCTCTCGTCCTGGGTATGACGATAAACTACGTCCAGCAGCAAGGTCTCTGATAATACGTTTTTGAAAAAATAATGTTGCCAAATGTACGTTTATGAAAAAAAAATAATAATAATATTACAAGCTATACGTTTTTGAAAAAAAAAAAAATTACCAGCTATACGTTTTTGAAAAAATAATATTACCAGCTCCACATTTTTGAGAAAAAATATAAACAGAAATGGATTTTTAACAAAGCAAAAATATTACCAGGAAAAAAAAAGTTGTCGGCATTAAATGTCCCATTGAGGTGTTGATATGCTGTAAAACAAAACAAGCCAAACCTATCTTCTCATTTTCATTCGCTACCTTCTCTATACGAATATAGGGAGATAGATATCAACAATGTAAAATATATAATAACGTATTGCGACAGACAGATATGATACAGATATCAATATGATGTAGATATCAACAATATGAAATAGATATCCACAATATGAAATAATATATAAAGTATTTGACAAAATACGTACATTCTAAAATATGTATGCAATAGACATCAACAATATGAATAAATAACAACATATAAACAGAGATGAAATATATATCAAAAAAGATGAAAGAGATATAGATGTAAAATTGATATCGCATATATAGACACAGGGAGGTAGATATGAAATGATAAAATAGATACCAAAAATATCAAATGGATACGAGCCAATTGCAACATATAAATAAAATAGATATTACCAATATGAAATAAGTAACAACAATATGAAAAATATTACAACATATGCACACTTGTGCAAATTAATTGAAACAACCGCTTTAGATGGCTTTCTTTCACCATACGATCAGTTTTAGACCCACTGGTTGACAGGGTGCAATCGATTTCTATTTTTACCTCAGATTAGGTTATTTGCTGTGGTGTACAGTAATATGAATCTATTTCAGAGGTGTATGATAAAATTTATTTGGCCTTTTGAAAATATTGCGTCATCCGGGATTGCATCAGATTTTTACGATGTCCAAACACTATTGTCTCTACTGTCGATTAGTTGTCCTACGGCCATTGTCTGCGATGGGCGTTACTCCAAGGAACCGTATGACAATTGTAACGCTGCACGAACACACTGGTAAGCCTTACCAGTGAGCAAATCACACGTACCATAGATTGGTCCGGAAAATCAACGTACCATAGATTGGGCCGGAAAATCTCTTGATTTAAATCCAATCGATTTTCTGTGGCCAAGGAACGATTCGTGGAATAGACATACAACATATTACATTGGAAAAATTCGAAAAAAATTAAATTATTCGTTTTGTTTCGATTAATTTGCACAAGAGTGTAGGGGAAAGAGACATCAGCAACATGAAATAGTTATCAAATAATCGCAACATATAGATAAAAAAGGTAGCAACAATATGTGATAAGGATTAACAATATGAAAGAGAGATCAACAATGTGAAATAGATATCAATATAAAATTGATATCGTAGATATATATATATATATATATATATATATATATATATATATATATATATATATAGAGAGAGAGAGAGAGAGACGCAGATAATAAATGACATACATATCAAAAATATAAAATAGAGATTAACTATATGAAATATATATCATCAATTGTCTCAAGGTCCTTGATAAAATCCAAAGACGGGTATGCAATGTAATTGGCCCTAACCTGGCATCTTGTCTGCAGTCGTTCTCTCACAGACGTGCCGTTGCCTCTCTCTATCTTTTTTTTAGAAATACTTTCACGCTAACTGATCCGATGAGCTGCTTTCGCTGGTTCCCAGACTTCATGAATTTAAGCGTTCTACTAGGCTGGCATCTCGCTCTCACTCTTTCACTGTCGAAACTGTTATATGTAGCCGTCTCTTCTACTCCAGTAGCTTCATGTCTCGCAATTCTTGCCTGTGGAACTCCCTCCTCATTTCTTGTTTTCCTGATAGCTATAATCTCCAACTATTCAAATCTAATGTCAATCGACGTCTCCAGATACCTTGATCTATCCCCTATCCTTCTTTTCATCCTTTCCTCTCCTACTCTGAAACCTTTTGCTTGCTAGTGGCTTCTCGCCTTGTTTGGGGTTGAATGCTTAAAAAAAAAAGAAAAAGAAAAGAAATAGCATCAACATATGGCAACGGATAGATTAAACATACAGGAACAATATGAAATAGGTATCAGTATATTGCAAGTATCTATTGAATCAAACTGTCATAGTTGCAATTTAAAGAAAGAAATAAATAATGAAAGAGAGAAAAAAAGAAGACTAATCAGAGGAATAAATTACGTATAAAATATCTCACCGACATTGCTCTCAAAACTGGAAGGAAAAAAAAACACCGAAAAAAAATCCGAAGTCACGAGCTGCGAGATGTAAAATGATTGTATGACACTGAAGCTGTTCCGGGGCGTAGGATTTTATTTCTGTTTGTTATTATTATCAATTGTGCAGTGGACGGCATCAGATGATTGCAAAGGTTTTCTTCAAGTCCGTTCGCGTCCATTGAACAACCATAGTCGGCTCTAAAGCAAATTTCCAACCGACACAATGCCACTGTTAAAACTCTCCGGCAAATTACCGAAGTGACTAACCGTTAATTCCTCCAGCAACTATTTCGACCTTTCACTGTCGCATTCCAATGAACAGCGGACGTGTTTGAGCAACAAATGTCAAAATAAGAAAGGAAGGAAGACAAAAAATATATATAAGTAAATGAATAAATAAATAAATAAATATCGGGTGAGTCAGAAGTAGAGCCAGATCACTTCAGTTATATACCTACGCCCCTTGACGTTTCAAGAAGACCGGACTACTTTTCAGTGGCAACATACATTATTCTTTCAAATTTGTCAAAAATTAATCGAATATTTCTTCTCTCAAGTGGATTAATATCGAATTCCAGAGCTAAATGGCATGATGCTATCGGTCGATGTGCATGTATGTGTGTGTAACTGGCTATACCCAGATTCTTTTTTCTTTCTTTCTATCTATCTATCTAAACCTATTCCTATCTTTGTAAGTAAGCCTGAGATCTATCTATCTATCTATCTATCTATCTATCTATCTATCTATCTATCTATCTATCTATCTATCTATCTATCTATCTAATCTGTTCTATCTATCTATCTATCTATCTATCTGTCTATCTATCTATCTATCTAAGTCTATTCATATCTATCTATCATCACATCTGTCTATCTATCTATCTATCTATCTATCTATCTATCTATCTATCTATCTATCTCAGTCTGTTCATATCTATCTATCTATCTATCTATCTATCTATCTATCTATCTATCTATCTAAGTCTGTTCATATCAATCTATCTACCTTAGTCTGTTCATATCTATCTATCTATCTATCTATCTATCTATCTATCTATCTATCTATCTATCTCAGTCTGTTAATATTTGAGTCTATTTATATCTTTTATATATTAGATTGTTTGCAGTTATCTCAATCTATTCATGTCGATTATTTTATCTTTTCCAGATAGTGCATTATTTGTCTACTTAAATATTCAATCTCTCCTTCCTCTAATTTACTGAAAATATGTATTGCCAATTTATATCCTTAATATAAATATGATGAGTGCGTGCGTTCAATGCGTGTGTGCGTACATGCTTTTATGCCAGTTTTTGTTTTTTTTAATAGATGTAAGTTTCTTAATATCTATCTATATATCTATTTGTCTATGATCATATTCGTGTTTGTTTATATTTATAGTATATTATTTTTTTGTGTGTCCGTGTGCGGATATGCGAGTGTCTCTGTGTGCCAGCAAACGAGTTCGGGGTTTCCACAAATATCTATCTATCTATCTATCTATCTATCTATCTATCTATCTGTGTCATTCTTTTAATACATACATACACACACACACACACATATATATATATGTATACACACACGAACACACTACACACACACACACACACACAGACACACACACACACACACACACACACACATATATATATATATATATATATATATATATATACATACATATATATATATATATATATATATATATAAATCCATCTCATTCTGTTAATATATATCTGGTGATCGGTTTATCTCATTTTGTTAATATCTATCGATCTCATTTTTTTTAATATAATATAATATAATATAATATATATATATATATATATATATATATATATATTTAATACATCTCTTTCTGTTAATATTTATCTGTCGATCGATTTATCTCATTCTGTTATCTATCTATCTATCTATCTATCTATCTATCTATCTATCTATCTATCTATCTATCTATCTATCTCCGTTTCTCTCTCTTATTATCTATACATCTACCTCATCATATATATTTATTTATCTGTTTCAGCCTTTTCATTATCTGTCTCCAGAATAATTCATCATGTATTTCACCTTTGTCTCTCTCTACGTCAGTATGGCGTACACACCCACCTACGCATGTTTTTGTGTTCATGCTCGCACGCGTGTGTGCTTATGTACAATTTTGTGCTTACCACGTTTTCTGTAAGACGATATGAAAATAAAACTTTTAATATCGATTCAGAATCGCATGCAATTATCCCTACCCTTTTATTTGGACCTAACCAATTGTTCCATTGCTTTGAATAAATGGAAATCTGAAGATGCTAATCAAGGTCATTTTGAAAGAAACAATAAAATATGCCAAGGAAACGTTTTAATCTTCGCCTGAGTTTATTTATGGGATGTTGAATTGTGTTGACATCCTGAAGTATCTATCAACCAAAGCTGCAGATCCCAGGAGGAATTGTTTCCTTTTTTTCCTCTTCATTCATTCTTCATAATGAAGAGCTGTCGTTATTGTCCCTCTTTATTCTAAGCCTTCATAATAAATGTTCCACATTCCAACGACTGCAAATCAAAACCATACAATGGTTGATCTTCCGTTTTGATGTTGGCACAGGGAATAATTTTGTACAGAATATCCGATCCTTACAAACGTCTGAAAAGAAAAAGTTTCATCGGAGTTTTCACCTATATTTTAATGTTTTTTTTTTATCTTTTTCAAACTGCATCTTTACTTTTATTTTTAATCGTTTCATCCCAGCCAAGGCAATAAAGCCACTACGGTGTAAGAAGTTACTGAATATGAAAGAGAAAAAGAGAAATAGTATTAAGGAGAGAGAATAATTAAAGAACAGGAATTAAGAAGATAGAAGATAGCGATTGGCACTGGATTTAAATTTTTGAAGAGTAATGTTAACTGGAAAGCAAGAAACACATAAATTGTTCTCCAAAGAGAAACGCGAAAGAAGAAAATATTTGCATAGAACTTACGGTTACATCCAACCATTTAGTTAATTAAGTACCATACGTGATAAACGCTTGGGTGATCATGTCTCTTTGGATTAATGACTGACTAGGTAGAAGATATTCCCGCAGTAGACTGCCGTTTTTTTTTCTGTAGTAGCGATCGACATTAACATGACCCATCCGAGCCGCAGTCGATGTGTTGTTTCTTGGGCAAGAGAGCCTGGAGGAACCCAACCATCTTCAGGCCGTTTTCAATTCAGAGTTTCCTTCTCCTAGATCGGTTGCCACATTAGTTTGTGCTGCTATTTACCCATAGCTGGGGAGATTTTTGTGATAGACTAGTTGCTAAACAGGGCTATAGGACCTAGTCTCTCTTGGTATTTAACCATTAGGTTTGGGGAGAAGAACGGATGGATTCATGCCTTTCCCATGGATATTTGCGCGTAAGGGAATACAGTGTAACACGGATATAAGAGACCCGGATATAAGACAAACCCGGATATAAGAGAGATTTTCTTTGTTCCCAAAGTGTTCCCATACTTACCTAAACAAAATAGACCAAACCCGGATATAAGAGAAACCCGGATATAAGAGACTTCCACTCCGGTCCCGACAACTCTCTTATATCCGGGTTACACTGTATATATATATATATATATATATATATATATATATATATCAGTGTAACCCAGATATAAGAGAAACCCGGATATAAGATAGATTTTATCTGGTCCCAAATTAGAGCCCATACTTACCTAAACAAAATAGACCAAACCCCGGATATAAGAGAAACCCGGGTATAAGAGACCTCTTCTCCGGTCCCGACAACACTCTTTTATCCAGGTTACACTGTATAATGAACCCAACTGGAATTCGAACTCGGCTCTCCGTTTTCTTATTTTCAGCCCTTATCTATTACTCCACAACACTGCGTTTAAATTTGTAAAGTCGAAGTCCTAATAGAAAAGGCACATTATACTGAAATTAATAACAATTTTGGGCGTAATTTTGTATTATTACAAATAATATTTATATTATTTGTAATAATATTTATATTATTATAAATACTAAAATTTAAATACTATATCATATATCATATATATTATACAAACACATACTTAGTTACCTCCTCTTAAACGTTGTCAGCGATCACGCACTGACTCAGCTTTCTTCACTCCACACGAAATAAATTTAACTTTCAGAGGGACACAAAGATTTTGACTTGGACAATGATGAATACTACAATATTTGTCTTGAAATAAACAATACTCTGATGATGCCATTGTTCTATGTCGAAAGGACTCGTAATAAAAGAAATATGTATCAACACTGGGATTTTCTGATGTCCTTGAATAACGACACCAAAAAGATTATCCCTGAATATGAAAGTATTTAGTTGAAAATAAATAGACAGAACGTGTCTAAACGTCTCAATGAAAACATGCTGCCATATATATATATATATATATATATATATATATATATATATATATATATAAAATGTATATGTATATAAATATAAATAAAACCTCTAACCTTATAGATAAAAATAATAATTCTCCTCCTAGAACAAAATTAAATAGGGCAAATATTATTTACGAATTTAAATGCTCATTAATGAAAAGTATTCCTGATCAATCAAAATTCGTAAATAATTATATAGGTCACACTACAACATGTTTGACATGCAGACTCACTCTACACCTTTCTGACCATAGCTCAATTAGATCTCATTTAAATATTCCTGGAGACCTACTGGACACTATTCAGAACATATTGTTGACAACACAAATATATTAACATCATCTACATGCAAAAAAGGCTAAAAATAATGGAAGCCTTATTACTAAAAACAAAAAAAGAAACAACACTTAATAATATTAACTTTGAACATGGGCACACTATCTTGACCTTGATTTGAAAAATGAAAGCATGTTTAAAAAACATACATACAACAAACTATTTCTTATTTAACAGTTAAAATATTTAATCCTTGAAAATGGCTAAATGTATAGCCGAAAGCGCTCGGATAAAAACAACATTCGAACAGTTTTTTCAACCGAAAAGTAAAAAATATTAGGTCGCATGAGAAATTGTATAAAAACTAAATAAAAGCACCTTGTATGTCGTATTCAATGAAATGTGCATAAAAAGGATTGCTGTCTACACACACACACACACACACACACACACACACACACACACACACATATATATATATATATATATATATATATATATATATATATATATACATTTTTTATATATATTATTTATATATAATACATACGTGGTACTCATTGAAAAGCGCTCAATATCAGTGATAGAACTAACATACTTAGTTGGAGTGATGTGACTTTGTGACCCTGGGTTTCACGCTATTTGCGATCGTCAGACACCTAAATATATATAATATTATATATTATATTATAAGACTATTAATTTTTGTTATAAATAGACAAGACAGCAATGTGACGCGATTTCTAACCAATAAGACGTATAATCAGTTCGAGATACAGACAAAATTGCAAGCTTCAAATGAGAGACTTCAGAATCAAGTAGGTACAGATATTTAACGAATAAGGAAATAGCTGAAGATAGAAAAGGGTGTAACAGAAATCCGAAGATACGAAGGGACAAAGAAATAAGTCTCATAGAAAATAAGTAAAGTATTAAGAAATAGAAAATTTTCCCTACACACAAAAATAGAGCGCTAATTTTTGAAGTCGTATCTATCTTTCTGTATGGCAATGAGTACTGGACAATTTTCATACAGTTGACAAAGAGACTCGATGCAACAGCGATGTTGTTCTACTGGGAGATGCTGAGAATAACAGGAACGGAACAAGTGAAGGAGGACAAGGAAGTTCTAATGAAAATATAAACTATTACGTCGTGGATACTTAAAGCTCTAAAGAGATAACGTTTCTGAGACACACTATGAGAAAAGTCGGCTTAGAAAATGTAATACTCACAGGACTTTTTGAACAAAACAGAAGAAGCAAACAGTAATAACCTGTCTAAACTGGTTGAATGAATGGATGGAAGACAGATGACAAGGAATAATGGTAAAAATTCAAATATTGATCAGAACACAAATGGTTAGGAAGATGAGGAGATCCACGATATCTTACGTCTTGAAGAAGAGCGGTATTTAAAAACAGAAGTTGGATTTCATTTAGATAAATGGTAAACTGTGTGAAATGAGTTGTTTGGGATTTAAAATGCTTTGATCGGGCCACAAGAGCCAACAGTCTTCACGCTACCATCCCAGAAGGTATCCCTTCAGGCAATTGAAGAAGAGGTAAACATGCGTAAAAGATGGACAGTCAGCGTCATTGAATAGACTGGAATAGCATTTAGAGGATATTGGTAAACTTGTGAGGTTCTGATGATACCAATGATACACGAATGAAAGAATTATTTCCCTTGAATGAATTGTTTATTTGTCTGTTGCTCGGTGTGTGCAAACGTTACCAATGCCATTCTATTTCATTGAAAACTAGAGACGGAATACAAATAATACAACAGGACTTACAATACATCCAAACAGAGAGAAGCTAATCGGCCAGACATCGTGATCAA